GCCGGGAGTCGCTGAGTGGCCAGGCCGCAGCCCGGCCTTTGGTCGCCTCCGTGGGCCTCAATGGTGAGCCGGGCTGAGGGGAACGACCGGGGGTTGAGGGGTCCCTCTTTTCTTGCTCCCTCCGGCCCTGGACCCCGGGAGCAGCCGAGAAGGGCGGGCGGTCTGCCGAAAGATGGAGCGGAGCCCTGTTTGTGGATGGGGTTGCCTGCCGTGCTGGGTCGACCTTGGGCAGGCCTCTGTATCTCCCCGGGCCTCGGGGTCCCCTGTTCGGGGGCGCTGCTCCGCTGGACGGTCTCAGGTGACCTCCATCTCTGACATTCTGGGCCTTTGTGGTTGTGTATAGGCTTCCCAACCACAGGCTGATTTTTCTGCTTCGTCGGTTAAGTTCAAGAACTATGGAGCCCGACTGCTTCTAGCAAAGTCTGACAAAAGATTTTGCTGCTTACAGGTCGTTTGCCTTTGGGCAGATTCCTAAACGTGTTCCCTCACCAGTGAAATGGATTAATTATTTTACCAATTTCGTAGGTTATATCGTAAGGTTCAGATGGAAAAAGTATACGTTAAGCCATTAACACATTCTGGGGGCACTTTATAAATTCTCAAAAAATAGGAATTGCTTTTAAATTTGAAAAGTTGTCCCGCTCGCTACCTCCCATCCTTTTGTGTGTCCTTCCCTGTCACCACCGCAGATCCGAAGAAAAAGAAACGAGCCGCAAGGTCGTTTATAGTGTAGACTACACTGCAGAGTATCAGCAGTGTTTTCAGGCACTGGGACAAAGGGTTTTCACACCGTAATGAATTTCATCCTCAAGAAGAGCAACCGGCAGAGATTGATGTTACTCCCATTTTACAGATGAGAAAACGGACTACAAGAGGTGAAGTGACTTGCACAAGGATACACGTTGTGTACGCGATAGTGCGTGGATTTTAAAGACTGATTTAGCCGTAAGCTCTCACCAGGAGTGTGTTTTACACCCTCTGTCAGCATAGCCTAGTTTATCTTTGGTGCCTTGTTTTCTGTTTTTCTTTTTATGCTCTGTTTGGAGATCCTGAATTGGCAACTTGTGAGCCAGGTGCCTGAGGTCTGCCCAACTTGTGTAGTTTTAAAAAACAGACTGTTTCTGGCATCTCTGGAAATGTTGAAAGTTGGCAGCACTGGGCTTTAGTTCCATGTCTAGTGTGCTGTGCATTGGCTGCACCCTTGGTCGGAGCAAGTGCTTTTCCAGTTCATCACAGCCCTCATCAGGGCTACTTGATTCATTGTGCTACCTGCCTGGCCTCATTGACAGTTGTATTGGTGACCTTTGCCCTACACCAAGTTGCCCCCACCCTCTTTATTCTGCCTTCATTCACCCTTTTCTCTTTACTTTAAATGGTCCTCCCACTCAGTTTTCCACATTTCCAAGTCTTACCCATCCTTTCTATCTCAACTCAGGATCAGGTCAATAAAATTTTACATTTGCTGATTCCTTTACATTTTATAGCACATAACACTTTCCACTCTGTATTGCATTTATTGGTGATTCCTCTGACCTTTAGCTTCAATGTGTAGAGAATATCTATCTTCCACAATCTCAGGTTTTGCATATAGTTGGTGCAGAGTATTTGTGAATGAATAAAGTGGCAGGTTTTTTTAGCAGGCACCAGTGGGTTTTAGAGAAGTTGCCCAAGCCAGTTCTTTGGACCTTGAGGTGAGAAACACTAAGGGAAGAGAAAATTTCAGTAACAAAGGTGAAAAGTGTCTTGGAATTTGTCAAATAGCTAAAGAGTTTCTTCTAAAAATCAGGGGCTTACCTGACTTCTCCAAGAAGTGGTAAAGTAGAAATATAAGGCAAACCTCTTTTCTGTAATCATGCCTTCAGCTTGAAGCTTAAATTTGTATTAAAATCTCCTGCATAGGTGGTTTGTGGAAAGATGTAGAGGATGTGGGAAGGGGTGGTTGGGTCAGGAGAAGATCCCTGAGTTTGGACACATTAGAGCTCACCTTAAACAAAACAAAACAAATCAAAAAACCCTGTTTTGTTATAATGCCTTAATCAGATACTTACAGAAACAGATAATTATAGAAACATCATCCATTTCTAGATGATGTTTCTATAAGTATCTGATTTTATTTTAGTTTAGAGCTAAATCTAGCTAGGATTTTTGCTAAGTCACACCTAATACAATTTATATAAATTATTTAGAGAATGATTTTTGCAATATGGCAGTTTATGTTCTTGATGGTGGAGCTCAGTATAAAGTGTAACCTACTAGATAGAATGGGAGTAGACAACTGCATTTCTTTTGCCACCAAGTCTCTGGATGATAGTGACAGAGCCATTCTATTTAGTGTCCCTGTGACAAAGCCATTTAGTGTCCCTATACATTTGCTTGTGTGGAAGGGTTGTAAATAGGGCTTTTAACGTAGAAGTATGAACTTTGGTTTCTTCATCTTTTAAGTATGATACACATCTTTCCTGTGTAATCCCAGACAGTGCTAAGGGAAAGTAATTATACTTTAGTAGGGTAGTATGTGATATGTCACTTTGCCATAGTTGTGAATCTCAAGTAGTCACTACTTGTGTCCTGGTCCCCTACAGAAAATGTTGAGTGAGTTAGAAAAGTACAGAGTGCTTTTCATAGGTTTCACCATTGTCTGTGAATACTTATGGCTTCCATAAAATTACTGACCTTGAGAACCATGTGAAATGTATTATTGTAATGTTTGACTGCTCAAGAAAGTATGTTAGGATGAGACAGCCTAGTAGGTCAAGTAGAATTGCAACTTATATGAAAATGCATTTTAAAAGTGCATATTTCTTTTGGAAACATTTTCAAAAAATAAGGAATTTTTAGTGCCCCTTTTCTAAAAAGGAAACCTGTAGCAGATTTCCTTAAATGACTAGAGTTTACAAAGAGATTTACTTCCTGAAACATACTTAAAAGTGATACTGTAAGTTAATTTTTTGTCAGACAGTTAAAAATGGTATGGGACAGAAGGACATACCTGTTTTTTCAAAAAATAAACTGCTTGCATCCAGAATACTGCATAAACAGTAATTATTTGTTTATTTAATATTCATTTGATGTAAACATCTGGCCTTTTTATGGCCTGCAGTGGTAGTGTCCCAGTTGAGAGATCCTCAGCAGTAAAAAAAGAAAGATAATGCCCATACTCTTATAGATGTTTTGCCCTTCACTGAAGAGCCAGATACATGAAAAATTTGCTCTTTTTTTATATTAAATTGAAATAATTGGTTCTTTTGGAGATTTCATTTGATTTTGATAGCTCCGTATCCTGATAAGGATATCCTTTTCTGCCCATTGGTGGCTTTACTTGAATTTATACCCCAAAATCTAGAATAGAAATCTCTTAAGTTTTCTGCAACTAAAGTTATACTGTTTACAGAATGTTTATTATCTTATAATTAGTGTTTTATGAATTTTTAGCAGTTCTTTCAGAGAGCAGGTAGATAGGAAAATAAAGTTAGACATTTGGTTTAATAAGATGATCACACATCAATTTAATGAGTGGACTAGATGAGTTTTAGGGTCTCTTCTAATCCAGAAAATATGGGTGATATTTATGTCTTAGATTGAATTTTTGGGGACTTAAAATATTGCTGTTTACAGTGCTATTTAACTTTTTTAACTTGGTACACTGAATTGTTATGAATTCTGAATCGCAATGTTCAGTCAGGAGGAACACAATTATACCTATTATCTAATGATTTCATACCAATATGATAGGTAGTGGTTGACTTCATTTTGTTTTCAGTATTTTATATGCTGGCATTGCCAACTTGACCATTTCTGAGACCAGTGAGTGCAATATTTCACATTTTTATAATTTGATTTTTGCTTGTGAATCCATAAAGGTCCATTTCCTGATGTATACCCCTTTCAGAGTCCTTATCTAATTGTGTTTCTTAACCTTCTGTTTATCTTGCAGTCCCTGCTTCTGTTCGTTATTCCCATACGGACATCAAAGTGCCTGACTTCTCTGACTATCGTCGTGCTGAAGTGTTAGATAGTACAAAGTCTTCAAAAGAGAGCAGTGAGGCTAGAAGAGGTTTCTCCTATTTGATAACTGCAACAACTACTGTGGGTGTTGCATATGCTGCCAAGAATGTCATCTCTCAGTTTGTTTCCAGCATGAGTGCTTCTGCTGATGTGTTGGCCATGTCGAAAATCGAAATCAAGTTATCCGATATTCCAGAGGGCAAGAACATGGCTTTCAAATGGAGAGGCAAACCCCTGTTTGTGCGCCATAGAACCAAGAAGGAAATTGACCAGGAATCTGCAGTTGAAGTGTCCCAGTTGAGGGACCCACAGCATGATTTAGAACGAGTAAAGAAACCTGAATGGGTTATCTTGATAGGTGTTTGCACTCATCTTGGTTGTGTACCCATTGCAAATGCAGGAGATTTTGGTGGTTATTACTGCCCTTGCCATGGGTCACACTATGATGCATCTGGCAGGATCAGGAAGGGGCCTGCACCTCTCAACCTGGAAGTTCCCTCATATGAGTTCACCAGTGATGATATAGTAGTTGTTGGCTAGAGACCAGGACTCAAGTCATAAGCTTCTTTCAGTCTTCGTGTCACCTCAGAAGAGTTATTTGAAAACAAGCCTTCTGTACTTCGAATTAGTTGGTTTGAAATAGTTAAGAATTGCTAATGATGTGTTTGCAAACATTTGAAGTAAATTAAATTTAATGTTGAATACTTTCAAGCATTCACCTAATAAAGCCACTGTTAAACATTGTTATGCTCAAAGACTTGAAAGGTGCAGTGTCTTTGATAGTTGATTATAATTAAAAATTACAGACCGGTGTACAAGA